CTGTTCTCTGACTACATCTGCTCGGAACGTAGAGGGCGATGCATGACGTTGTGCATGCCCGGCTCAGCTCAGCCGCGGAGCCAGCCGCCTGTTACGATCGAAGTAGAGACCTGCGAGCAGCTCGCCGGCGAGCTGCCAAGGACAAGCGAAGCTCTCGCTTTCAGTGACTCAGGTTCAAGCCCTCAACGCGAAATTTGGTCACTGGCCGGACGGAATATCTGGCGGCTGACAAGTTCCCGTCGACCCGCGGCTGCGCAGCGGTCAACCTGCCAAGAGGCGGCCGGACAGCTCCTGGAGCTCGGTGCACGACATGCCGCGAGCAGCAGAACCTGAGCCTGACGCCTCAAAAGAAGCCCTCGCACGGCATTGCTATCGATTGGCAAACAGTCAAGCGCCGGGTGTCTGAGGATTTTTGAAACTTGTTGATTTCACATTTCCCAGCGTGGCACGTTTCGCGCGAATACCAAGACTTTTCATGACCTGCCTCGTGCCACTTCCATTTTTTAGAGTCCAAAGTTGCGTGGGATCAGACTAGTGAGATTCGCGCAGCTGTTGTGCTGGAATGCCGTACCCTCGGGGCAACTGCCCCCCTTGAGCTTGTCACTGAGGCGATTTGATTGCGCTTCCTTGTCAGCACATCTTCTGCGCAGCGTCTTGGCTTTGGGTCTGACATAGCTTCCAAAAGGAAAACAAAATGAAGAACACAAGTTTAGGGGCTCTATTTTGTTGTGACAGATCCATACTAGGTCCATCCATTGAACCGGATGCCGCACTGCACCATACTTGTTGCAAGGAGTCATGCGGCGAGTGCTCAAAAATTCGTGCAGTAATGCAATAAGAATATTCACATGGAATGCATGCATTTGTTGTTTACCTCACCAAGCCTACAACAGCGCTAAGTTTGGGCACGAGACATTCATGAAGTTGTACCACATCGCGCGTGGTTCAGGACACGTCAGGTTAGTTGATAGTTTTAGCGTGATTAATTACTTTGATCACTTGGAAATTCTGAGGCGCTGTTGCTTGCTTCTTTGTTTGGATCGGGAATGGACTTGTGCGCATGTACTTCCAGGATATTCAGCCTGTATAGTAGCAAATATATATATATATATATATATATACATATATATATATTTATATGGTTGATTTGCGTGGGTGAGCATTTACACATACATTTGGTCAACTATGGCGACCTCAACCCATGATGAAGGTTCCTTAATCGGGCGTTCCTTCAATCGTATAATGGCACCAGCTTAGTCTTGGCATCTCCTCTGCTCGTCGTGCCAGCCGAGGAGTGTGTTTGCCGCTGGCTTGCCCGGCAATCGACATGTGTGCCCTTGACTGAACTGACAATGCCGAACATGTGCCAAACATGTCCCCTGCTGCGTTTCGTCGGGATTGTCCAGAAACGATTGATTTGGGTAGGGGGCAAGATTGAACAGAAGGGATTAAAAGAGGGGAGATTAGCGTTGTTTGGAGGGTCAACTTGAACCAGAAACCTTGAGTTGCTTAGTTGCCCCGGGCACCTCATGGGGACCTCCCTTGGAGAACGTCCACTTGGGTCTGAGTCAAAATTAAACCACCAGGAAACCGCAGGTTTTGGTCCATATTTCCACTTACCAGGGGACCATTTTGGGTACATATTTTTGACCCACAGCCCACAGCCACGTCCCTTCTGATATGACCGTGGGGTGGCTGGCCTTTAAGCGGAATGGTACGAAGCGAGAACCCCTTTGATCAGTGTCCGGCTTATTATCCCGAAGGTGACATGACGTCACCCGTGACACAGATTCTTGAATCTAGCAACCCAGAAAAAATCGAGTCTAAAAGAAGAATCCATGAATGGTAAGAGGACCCCAAGAGGAGCCATGAGCTCCGCAGAGTCTTCAATCCGAAGGCAACCAAAGGAAACCAACCCAGTTTTGCTTTCAGTTTTGTTTTGCTTTGTGGGGGGTCAAATCCAATTGGAGACGAGCCAAAGCGGGTTTCGGGAAAACCATGGAGATGTATGTTTAACCACCGACCATACCAGAACGGGTGACTTCCCTTTTGTGTTCCTCTAATCAAAATCAAGCCCAGAAAGTGTACCCTCACAACAAACACCCCCACGTAGTAAACAGGCCCATGACAACATCAATATCTAAGACCCTAGGTCATTTCTTACTGAGAACCCGCAAGGTAACTCACATTTTTTGGGGAAGACAATCTTGGCGGTAAGCCGACTTTGTTTGGCCAATCCACTCACGTGAGATTAAGGAGGGCCTTCCAGCAAAGCGTCTTTCTCCACGTCACGAAGAGAGTGTTGACCACAAGCACACGCGCACTCACGCCCATACGCCCACCCACCCACCCGCCCGCCGCCCCTGCCCCGCCCACCTGCCCGCCCACCCAACACACACACACACACGCACACACACACACACCCACACGCACACGCACTCGCCCCCGCGCACGTGCATGCATACAGACACAGAGACTCGGAGGCACATACACACACAGGTGCTATGCAAGGACGACGTGCTGCCAAAGCTGCGACAGGAGACGTGAGCTTACGAACGAGGCGGCCAGACCAATGTGTCACGGAGGGTTACCCCGAACTGGAGTACCTTTTTGGGACCCCACGGCGTGATGTGAGCCAATTTTTGCCCAACCCTCCACCAAAGCCAAGAACCCTCTGACAGGGTACCTGGTGCCCGGTTCGAATATGACGCGATTCGTTTGTCACGTCCTTGTTGCGTTTGTTTCAATGAAACAGATTGCAATTGGAGTCCCAAACCCCGAGTTTTTGCCTACGCAGGTTTCCCCAAGGCCCTTTTGAGGATTGGACCCTCAGTGAGAAAGCCAGGGGCAGTGCACCATAGCCCGGGCTGAATTCCGCGTCACGGCTCACAAGGCCGTTGCTTCGGTGCTTTTAGGAGGGTATCTGCTCAATTGTCCAAAGAGATTTGACCATTTTCGCAGTCTATGTCAGTAGTCCTTGATCGCGTTTTTAAGTCAATCGTTGAGTAACTGGCGAAGAAATAGATATGACTCTTTGGACAAGTACATCGGCAAGGCCTTGGCATTGAGCGAGCCCAAGAGCTTGGGCAACTCGGACTCCAACCCCTTTGGCTGTCCTGGAAGGGATATAGGCGATATAGATATCAGTGAAAGATGGTGAAGTCGGCTGAATGAACCGCAGAATTGAAGCCCTGGTGCGCATTGCTTTTTCTTCGAGCCACGCGCCCTGGCTCTCGAAATGGCAAACCAGCCCGCAAAGGGGCCACATTTGGCATGTGTGTCCATACAATCAATCTTTCAAGGGAACCGCATCGTCGTATTCCCAATGTAGTCCTGTCCCTAGCGCAAGCAGCCGTGGCCGGGTGTGCAGTGCTGGTCAGGCTGGAACTGGCCTCTGGCTCGAATTCATGCTGTGATCTTTCCGGGATACCCTTTGGGGATGGGGGAAAAATTGTCTTCATCCACTGCCAGTCCGATTCAAGATGTGTCAGACGCATCGTCCCCGCATGGATTTCGGCCACCAAGCTCGGAGGGTTCCTCGACGTAATTGCCTTCCAAAGTTTGCATCGAAGCGGCCACACAGGTAATCAACCAGGGAACTGTAATCAACCACCGCTACTCCTAGATCCTTTGAACCTAGTTGTCTCTTCCCCGAAGTCACCGGAAGATCGGAGCTCCGATGCGGTTCCATGGAAAAGCCCGTGGCTGAGGAGGTTCTTTTTGGATATTGTTTAAAACAAGTTTGTTTACTGCGCCGTCTTTTCAGATGTGGGCCAAGGGACAGGGACAAAGACTGTCACAGCCGAATGTTCTCCATTGGAAGCCTGCCTTGCCGGAGCACGAGTGGCCGGTCACCGCTTGCTACCGTGTTCCTTATTCAATCCCTTTTTTTCCGCTTAGGAGTTGGTGTTTGTTTGTGTCAAGATGTCGTACTGGCCACGTTGTCAGGCTTCCCCTCCTTTAAAGCCATGGCACGACTGGTGACATATTTGCTGGGCCTTGAGTGCAAGTGTCGAATCCCTTTCAACATCTACCCGATTTGCGGTGAATGCTAACGGCAATGTGCATGTAGCGCGCCCTGAAGGCTTCAAGCCGACCAGCTAAAGTATCCCGTGGTTGCAGATAGTTATGTCCACAAGCTATGGTTACCGGCACCAGTGATTTGGTAGCACCTTTCGAGCAGATGTACTTGGGCTGATTGGTATTGACAATGGATAAGCTTGCGGGACCCGCCCCCTGTATGAGACAAATGTTATTGCGCGTCATTTCCGTTCTAAGTTCTAACATTTGGAGGAAACCAGTCCATGAATTTGTTTTGAGTTAAGGTCACTTGCCCTTCAGAAGCGAAGTCATGTCCCGCATTTTGGGGACCACGCGCCAACCCCCTGGAACAAGACGCACATCATTCACCCAAGCGGTTTGCAGTGCTCCGAAACCCGGACTCTGCAAATATCCGAAAGGCTGGGGCGGTTGGCTTGTGGTTTCATATATTGGCCTCGCAGGATTTTCTTCCGGCAAGAGTAGGTCCAAGTGCGGGGATGTGGCAAATGTGCAAAAAAGAAGGACGGAAACTGAGGATACTGCCATTTTCCAGGTGATTTTGGGGATGTTGCCAACCCTGAGAAGAACCAGCGCTGGAAAAACTAGGCCTAGGAAAGAAGCACCTCGCTGGGAAACATCCCATGTCCAAAAGTACCCAACCTGAGATCACAGCTGTGTTCATAGCCAGCCTTTTGGCTTTTTGTGCTTTTGGGTTTTGGGTTTCCCTCAGTTTCCCTTGTGACCAGCTAGTTGTCGCTTGGGGTCAAATGGGCGTTTGATTTGTTTTAGGGTGGCATTTTGCGGGCGGCAAAAAAGGATAACCCAAAGGACATCACCCATTGTGTTCTGTTCTTATCTTTTTTTTGGTTGGGGGGGGGGTTCTTGTTTGTTTGTTGTTGCTTTTTCGGGGGGGCTTGGTCCCTTAAGAGACAAGCCCAAAATCGTCCGGATTCGTTCAGGACTTCGATGCTTCAGTGGGCCGCGAGCAGCAGCTCAGGCGGCACGCGGGGCGGTCAATGTTTTTGGTGGTTGGTTTAGCGGCCTGGACACCTAGTTTGGTACCTAGTTTGGACACTCCAGCCCAGTCAGTCCCGTGTTTGGCACCTAGTTCCGGAAAGAAAACCTTTGGAACTCAAAGGCTTGCTGGTGCAGGTGGGGAATGAGTTGGAATGAACCGTTTTGGAGTCCCCCTAAAGCAAACCACCAGTTGGATGGTTTATATGGGTCATTCCCTACTGAGCACCAGCAAGTATCTTAGCTGGGTGCTAAATTCATGGATCCTTAGGGGGGCTAGGGGGAGGGGGCGTAACTCCCTTACTAACCTCTCATGGCCTTGTTAAGGGCTTCGCCTTAGCTTGGGCTTGTCCTGTCATAGCCCCTCCCTCGCATAGCCCCCCCTAGAAATCCGTGATCCATAGCCAGCATTTATTGGCTGTCATTGTGCCTTACATGGAAAACCCAAAAGGGCATGGCGCTGTTTTTGTTTTTCAACGCCCAAGATGTAGCACCCATTTGCATCCTTGCCCTTGGCAAAATGATGAACAAAGCAGAGATATCCTACAGTTGGAATCCCCTCTGAGGCCTTCCCGCAAGAGCAGGCCAAAGATCAGACGACACTGGGTGCGAGCTTACAGATGTTTTTGATCCTACTTGTCATGGCTGAATGCCCCCTGGCGTCTTGTTCAAGTCTGAACCGAGCTGGAAAGACTGTTTCGACTTGAAGCTGTACCAGCAGATGAACATGGTCGATGCTTCGATATAGGCATCATGTTGCTTGAACAGACTGGATAGACAAAAGGGCGACACGCGCGATGCGCAGTCTCCTGGCCCAGGATCTCTAGACTACGACACTTTGCTGCGGGTGTCCAATTGCGTCCGCAAGGTGACGGAAGAGTTTAGAGTCAGAGCTTGGAGAAGTTAGAGGTTAGAGTCGGTTAGAGCTTTTGGTCAGAAGGGACTTGGGTGACAAGCGCGTGACTACCAATAAGGTTGGGCGCAAGGCCCGCATCGGAGAAGCTAGGGATGGGAGAAGTTAGAGATTAGAGGAGTTGGGGATTAAAAGAGTTGGAGGAGTTAGAGTCTAGATTTAGTTGAAGGACATAAACTAGAGGTGTGGGCTAGTGGAGTTCGTGCTTAGAGTTAGAAGTTAGAATTAGGGGTTAGACGAGGGGGTTAGAGAAGTAAATGGCTAGTTAGAGAAGGTTAGAGTTAAAGGTCAGCCGCGTCAAAAAGTCTGCCGCGGTGATTTGCATGGAGCCTATGCAGACTGCGTATTTTGGCAAGTTGATTTGTGGTGGGAGCAGTGCCACGCCATACTGTCCAAAGTGGATCATGAAATCGTAGCCTGCAAGGGGCAGCTCCCATGGCATGACGTCAGCACCATCATGACTCCCCGCGGCACTGAGGCAAATTTATTCACCAAGCATGTGAGGCAGCAGCACCAGCGGAGAGCCATCATTCATGCAGTTGATGATTGCGAAGCCTCATGAAGTCTCCGACGGAAATCGCAAATATGTTCAGAGTTAGACAATTCAAAGGTATTTGTGGGTGCTCGAAAGCCATATGGGAGTGTCTTTTTTGAGGGTACCCTTTTTGGTGGTTTGAAAGAAAGCCAACAAAGTACACTGATTGCATCAGAATAATATTAATTATTTAGCCCCTACGCTTGTGGCATGATTTTGCAGGGCCCAACTTCGAGAGTTACGAGATCTTCGCAAGGCGCGCAGAATGTTTGACTTGATTTTTGTGTCGGTTGGTTTCTTCGTTGTGGAGTGTGTGTGTGTGTGTGTGCGCGTGAATATGCTCAGTGCTTATATGTTGTGAATTTATTTCTGGCTTTGATGTTGCTTCATGATGATAGTGGTTTGTTGGCTGTAGGTTCGGCTTGGCTTGGCTTGCTTGCCTGCGTTGTGTTTATTTATTTTTGATTGCTCGGCTCACTTGGCTGGCCTGGTCTTGATTGCGTCCCCTGCAACATTTCCCACCAGCCCCCTGAAGCCGAGAAAAATCGGGGCTGTTCAGCGGGGTCATTTAGGGCGAACGCCTAATTCACCTTGATCTATATAAAGAGATGTTGCCGACTGCGCAGGCAACTCGGCTCAAAGCTCAACGCGCGGAAGCATGATGCTCGCGCTGAGTTCTGACCCCTTTTTGGCCTCTGCCAGGAAGGCGACATGCCTGCCAGGATTCTGTCACGTCCATGTGGAAACCGTGGTTTTTTCTTTATAAAACATGGCGTACCCAAAAGCCAACCAAACATGGCGTTCTGTTTCTTTGCCAACCCCCAAACACATGTTGGGCAAATGTCAACTGTGTCAAAATAGGGACCCCCCCAAACAAGAAGGTTTGGTTTCCCTTTAAGCCAAGCTCGAAAAGAGAAGCCTTGGCCGCAAGGAGCCTTCTTCAAAGTTGCCCTCCGTGCCTCCAAAGCCGCGGCACGACGAGTTCTTCAGCTCGTCAACAGTGCAGAGGGCCATATCCCCATGCCCCCGGGGCAGCGCTACAGCTGGACAACGAGGCCCCCTTTTTGGAAGCCCGGGTGCTTCAATTCTTGTGAGTCAATGGGAAATGTTCGGAACACTGCGCAGATCCATGAATCCAATTCCGGGAGTGTAGCACTTGGCGGGTACAAGGGTAACTGGAGGATGCCCCCACGGATGGGTTGAGTAAAACTCTTGAAAAGCAGCGTATGCGTCAAAAGCAGGGGCACAACCAATGCCGGTTTTCCTCTTGGTGTCCCTTAACACCATGATAGCAAAAATACAAAAAAAAAGGTGCCCTCAACAAAAGCACACCCGCGCTGGCCACCTATCTGAAGGGAGAACCTGAGCACATCAGCTGGGCCCACTTTCGGCAAGGACCAATCCACCTTTGCCGTCCAAGCTGCTCGCCCGACGAACACGCAAGTCTTTGACTGTGGACATCTATGAAGTTCCTCCTGGGGGGCGGTATCCACGTCCAGGGTCGCTCGGCTTCTCTTGGCCCTATCGTGCGGAAAAGATAAGATCTCTATTTGAGCCAGAATCAAAGGTCGGGCAAGAGAAGGTTACGGGAAAGTCCCAGCCAGAATCAGTTGCCGCCTTTGTAGTTCTTTACCTTGGTTTGGGTACAAAATGTGAAGACCAGGTTTTGATTGTTTCTCATTTGTTTTCAGTTCTGATTGACTAGGTATGCGGAGCTGCTGGTCATGAGGAAGTGGCAAGCCTCGGACAGCTGTCTGAAGGAACAGCTTGCAGGCTGCTGGCGCGGCTTTATGCGAGTGGTGCGACTGGCCACTCGCGAGGCTCATCGCCAGTTGCGCTGAAGCGCTTCATGGGCGTGGGCTTCGCAGAGTGGGGATCAGAGTTTTTATGGCTGGCGAAACGCCCAAAGCCTGGAGCTGGTTGTAGGTGTTTGATGTTTATGAAGCTGTTCTGTTTCTGGAGGATGCGAATTTTGCAAGCTCACCTGAGTCGAGTTTCTACATGCAGCCAAGCGCACCTTGCCCACAATGTGTTCATAAAGCCCAGGGTCCAAGCACTCCTAGCATGCGAGATGTCGCCAACAGTTGGTTTTTCCCCGGCACATCATCATGACAGCCGCTTTTTAAGCATTGACAGTGCTCCATGAGCGGTGCCCGAAGGTTGGCGGATGTTGGCGGATGGATGTGCCCAAGTGAGCAACGGTTCTGGGTGGAACTGAACATATGCAAATGAAACGAGAAGGGCAGGGGCAACTAGGCATGCAAAAGCATGGGCTGTTTTTTGCTGTTTCCGAGTGTCAAGGTGAGTGTCTATTTTACTAGCACTTGGGAGGATACAGTATGTTTTAAGAGCACCCAACAAGCAAATAGCAAGTCGTAGAATGGGCATGTTCCCGACACATGAGTTGCGTGATTGTTGGAGAACGGGTAGGACGATGGCTCATCTCCGTGTTTCGTTTCATTGCATCTTCTGAACAAGGTTCTTATGCGAAGCGATGCTCACCCACCCTGGAAGTGTGCCGTCGTTGATGAGTTGTCCAGAAAATGTCTGGATGAATCCCCGCACACGAGGGGCTTCAGCCGAGATTTCAGGGCTTATGCCCTGCCTATTTGATTAAGAGCAGACGTCTACCTGATCCACAATCCGGCAAAGGGCTGTTTGCAGGGTTTATCTTTATTTCCAACTGGTCAAAGGCCAAGTGCCACATTCCAGAATCTGTTTTGGTACTCTTTCTACCCTGGTGCTCTGTTTGCAGAGTGGCCCTGCTATTCTAGCCAGGCGTGGATACTTTTCCTTATGGACGTTTCGCCACGTGCTTTTCCGCAGGGGTCCTTATAGTTCCCATCTTTTTGAATACTCAAAACAGGCCCCTCCTTTGCCATGCGGCGAGTCCCCTTTCGATTCCTATTTGGGATGCTTCGGCGAGAGAACGAACGGGGACCCCTGGAAAACTGTAAATAGAGCTCACTTGTAAGGCCCGCAAGGGTCCGTGAGCAAAAAGGGGCCGCCCAACCGAGCCAAGGCAGAAAGACACCCCGATTCATCGTCGTTGAAGCTTTTGAGCCAACACCTAGATCTGGGTAGAGGGAGCCGTTCCCCACCACAATCAGAAGCATTCTTGTAGCTTGTTTTTGGATTTTGGGCAAGCTCCTTGCTTTTGTTGTTCTGGTTCGTGGCTCAAAGCCGAGCATTTGAGACCTTTTGACTTGAGTCCAACAGCCAAAGGGCCGGCTTACTGGCCTGGTGTTTGTCCAGGAAATCTCTAACTTTCCAGACCTTCGACCCCCTTTGGCATGCACCTTCAAGCAAACTCGAGTTTCCACCCCCAAGGGAGCAAAGGGGTGGGAGTAAAGATCACATGTTTTACCAGAAATGAAGAGGTGTGCCGTCCGAATTTGGCGTTCCTCCCTTTCCTACCGTTTCTGGTCGCGACATATGTTCGAACAGCTCTTGTCTTTCTTTGTGGATCTTCCTTGCGTCGGGCTCCTTGGCTACACCTTTTGCCCGCGAAAGGAAGCCGTTGTCGAGCAGGGGCGTTCATCTTCCGAAAGATGGGGCAAGCAAAAGGTACGTATGGTGAGGAATGCAGCCCTCGTTGTTTTGTAGAAATGGGTATGGGTCAAAATGAAACCACAAGGGGAGTGCAGGTTTTAGTCCTCGGTTACATTTGCAAGGGCCCCATTTTGGGTACTGTTTTTTGACCTTATGCCCCGAAGGGACCAATGGGGACCGTTGCTTTGCCTGACCCTTGGCCCCCTTTTCCGACTCCCAAGGAGATTTTGCTGTTTTATTTGTTTCTTTGTTTCTTTGTTTGGGTGCATCAATCACCTTTTTGACATTTGTTCGATGATTTCATCTCGTTAGATACCATGAGGCTTCCCTTGGCAAATCGATACTCAAGTTGGACCGATAGAAAGTGAAAAAGGTGGAAACAGCAAAAGGTCTGCCCAACGAAGCCAAACTAAACCAAACCAAACTAAACCAAAGCAGAAAGAACAAACCAGAAGGTCTGTCCTCCAAGAACCGCTTCGGAGGTGGAGTCTCGCCAGGCACCGGGCTCTCGGGCGGTTTTATGCTTTCTGGAAGCACGGGTTTTGGAAGACTGCAGTCTGGTAGTGCTCACGTGGCTGTTATATGCGTGGCTCGTCTCTTGAGGGCCCTTCTGTGGTTTTAAAGGGACACCAACAGGAAAACCACGATTGTGTGTTGTTTTTCTTGGGGTTCCCCTATCAAAAGACACATACCGGGGATACCCATATGTTGTTTTCCAGTGGTTTCCATGAGGAACTGGCCCAAAGTCAGGGGGGCCGTCCAGCTTGCACCATAGGACCATCATGTAGCATGCGAAAGGAACTCATTCGGAGACAGTTTGGGGTCCACCAAATGAAGGAGCATCAAGGAATGCACAAGCCAATGTTGAAGCATCCCTGCAGGTTCTGCCAAGCGGTTGGTTCCAAGGGGCTGGCTCCAGAAGCACCTCAAAGCGGGTTCATCCAATCGGCGCGAAGGAAGCCACAGGAAGCCACACAAAGGCTGGTGCCCTGGTCAACCATGGCCGCGAGGATGCGGTTGAATCCCCGAACAAATGTGATTTGAGAGGGGCTACATCCCTGGAAGACATTGTCTGTTATTGCACGTGTGTTTGTTTGTGGAGGAGAAGGGGTTCCAATTTGGAGCTGGGGGACACCTTTTCGTGGGGATCCTTTTGACCCCCCTGCCTGCTTCGCGTCATTTCAGTGCAAATATGAGGCGACTGTGCACAGACTGACAAAGTTGTTGTCATTTCCGGGCCCTTGAACCGGACGGAGGGAGGCGACATGCTTCCGATTTCTCCACCACTCCGCGCGCAGGCGAGCCCCACCCGCGCGCTGGTGCTGGGCTCTCCCAGCCCCTTGCGCCGTGCTGGAGAGCATCGAGGCACGAGCCAGCGACCTAGACTCTCCATGACCCTTAGAAAATGGGTCCATAAGCCCATTATTTTGGGTATTGACCCCATTGTTTTCGGGTCATGGAGACTTCTTGGTACTCACTCACCCGATTTTCCGAGCCGGGAAAGTTTGGGAAGACCAGTTGAGTGAACGACAAGTTTAGACTGGTTTTGGCCGCGGAAGTCAGGGTTTCGGGATGTTTCGGGTGAACAGGGAGTCAAGCCGAAACTTGGATGGTTTTTCTGGGTTTGCAAAATATTTGACTGACTTCCAGCAGATTCTCCAGTAGCCGATCTAGCACAAAGTCCATATGAGTAAACCTGACTGCATCACGATACTTGAATCGCTCCGAGTCATTTTCCTTTTTGCGCAGCAAGTGGTTGCTGCCGAAACATGGAAGTTGGCAGCTTTCCGTCGTTTCCAGTCCCTCAGACCGCAAAGTCGATCATTTGGACAGATATTGAACGGGCAGAAGGCAACCTCAGTGAGAATGAGGTCTTACTTCATGGCAAGAGTTCTTCCGACTGGGAAGGAGATTGCCTGTTTGGTGCCCCCCAGAATGTTCATCGTTTGCTTGTTTCGGCGCTCGGTATAGTTACAGGGGAACAATAGATGCAAACGTCCGTGGCCATGCCGCCATTGGCTGGCGGGCACACTAGAGATGTGGGCTTGCTATACCTTCCATTTGCTCAAGGTTTCACGTGTTATTATCCCTGTTGGGTTTTAAAGGGAATCTATCACTACTGGAAATATATTTTTTCAGGGGCCTGAAGAAAATGGAAGATATGAAAGATCATACTTCCATTGTGGAACTATCCCGAAGTATCCCTCAAATTGAGAGATTTGGCACCTGGTGCCATACTGCGCGGACGGGGCGGAAAAGTTGTGGGGAAGAGTCTTGAGCATGGCTTGCGCGCTTGGCGTGTTCCCCACCCAAGCTTGACCCGTGTTTTTTGACAACGTCCAATTTGAAGGAGGTAGTGTTTGTTATTTTACTAGGTCTGGTTTTTGATTAGGTCTGGTGATGGGTTGGTTGGTTGGTTGGTTGGCTGGCTGCATCCCCGGCATCACCAGCATCACTTGGACCTAGTAAAAAACCGGACCTAGTAAAACAAAAAACACCTCTACCCCAACTTGAACACCAATTGACTGTATTCCCATGCTGTGCGCGTTCAGTCATGATGGCCCCAAGGGATTGTCCCTGAATTCCCAGCCCTTTTTGCAGATGAGTTTGTCCTCCAAGACTTCCTCGTGGCACGACACAGGATGGCAGTTTGTGAGATGATTTGTGTGGGACATGCCGAGTTGTTGCTGCACAGCTGCCAGGCATGCAGCGCTTGGGCCTTGGTTACATGTTTGCCTTTTCCTGAGCCGAAATGTGGACGCGCTGTTCAGCAGGGATGGCTATTGACCAACACAAGCAGTGCCTCTATATGCGAGCGTGCCAGGTTGAGATGGCTGTCTTCGGGTTCAGTGCTGAGCCCCTTTTGGACATGAATTCGGCATGGCAGCGTAGGCGCATGCATAGCAATTCATCCGAGCAGAGCTCTAATTCATGCAGGCAGTGTTGGTGCTCCATTGTTTGGCATGGATCTGTTGCTTTGAAGAACTTATGGGTGCTTGCATTTTATCGTTGCTTATTTAGGACTGCTACCAGCAGCAGCACAATTCAGTGCGTGTGCTCATCTACCGTTGCTGTACTGCATTTGCCCTACATGCACGGCTTTAGCAGCGACTTGTGGCAAGTTGCGTTTGCAAGATGGACAAAGAGATACAAGCAATCCTCCGCAAACCGAACGCTCAAAACTTCAAGATTCTTTGTTGGCAAGTTGGTTTATGTTGAAGCAATCCTCACACTTTCTTACTGTGTGGAGCTTCAGAGGTGCATGCTGTTTGTGCATGCTGTTTGCGTAAATCAGGAAGATTTGTTCCACTCACCATTGCTTGGAGGCACATGGCATGCGCACGGAACCCTTCTTGACCGCAGCGGACACCTGCTGCGAGCAGTGATTGAACATGTATTCCAGACGCCTCAGTAACAGACTGCGACCATGTTCTCTTCCTGTCAGCGCTTCGTAAACTAGGAAAGGGGACACATGTCCGATGTTCCTCGCCGGTGTTTCTGGTGGCTCAAGTATTCGGGGCGGGGGGGATCCATCCTCAAATTCGTTTGGTTTTGCGGCGCAAGGCGCGCCATCGGCTCGGGACCCATGATCCGATCTCCCGCGGATCCCCAATGGGCTCGTGTGAACGAAGGAGTTGCCGAGGGCACCAACTTGTTGGGTCAGATTCATGGTTTTGGTAGCCAATGTTGACCCCGGTTTCTTAACCCTGTCCTAAAATAGGGGTTGCCTCCAAAAGAGATCAATCCGCAGTATAATTTTAAGAGGGGGCACCCCCCCTGTTCATCAACCAGAGGTTCTACTTAGATCCAGGGTTGACATTAGTTCGATCATTTGTGTTTGGGTTCTTTCGGTAGGGCAAGTTGCAGCTTTCAAACGCGCTTGCGCTTTTTGCATAGCGAGGGTTGGTTGCCAAGGATTCCTCTTGGCCTCTGAAAGAGGCTCAGCCAAAGGTAATTACTTGGATTCCCAAGCCATCCCTAGAATCCTTCGAAGTAGGTTCCCAAGCCTCGAAAGCAACCGTCTTTGTTTCTTCATGTCCAGATTCTTCACAATCATGTCGCTTCTGAGGCCTGTGCTGTCGACGTTTCCGGCGTGCTTGAAGTCTGATTGTTTGCACGCGTCGTTTTATGGAGGCTCGTGAGAGTGCTGTCATTGAATCTGATATGTGCTTGCGTCAGCAGTTTGCCCGTTTTTCAACAAACATTCACGTCGACCACGGGCTTTGCAACAGGAACTGTCCACTCGCCCAGTGTTGTTTCTTCTTACAAATCCAGCAGATCAAAACGCAAATCAAGCACACCCCGATACGATAGATTTGCCGGCCTACGTTGCGCTGCAAGCTGCGTGAATGGTTCTAGCTGGCATTGACAAGTGTTCACCCTTGTTTCAGATTGTTTCAGTCAGTTTCCTGGAAAAGACAGCTAAAGAAAGCTTCACGAAGCCCTTAATATCGCAAACGGTGTGACCTAAATTCCCTTTAAATGGTTTCTTTTTTCCATCCGCCAGTTGACAGGACCCCGCACCCGATATCCCTGTTTTATATTGGTTCACCACAAGGGGTACCAGGGAATGGTGGATGCCCCAACTATTGCATGTGAGGAAACAAGGACGCCTCCTAATTTACCGTACTTTGCCATGGTTTTGTGGTTCTGTACCCCGAACACTCCATGTATACTCTATTTGCCCACGTTTTGCCTTCCAAGTGGGTCAAATGAGGGCCGTCCTAAAACCCCAGTCTTCGGTTTTAATTATCGCCGAACGGGGAGAAGTAAAAGTTGTCAAAAGCTGTGCGCGCGCAAGGAGCGCGCAAGTGCGGCCCAAGGGACGCGCAAGGTTACAGTTTTGAAGGGTTTCATGTACCGATGTTGCCGAGCTTCATGAAAGGAGGTTATATCTTCTTGCTGTACTTGTGCTTTTCGAATGTTGCTTGTCATGTGTAGGTCACAAGCTTGTTTGCAAAGGTGCGGTGTTTTCTTCAGTCAGACGCCAAACGAAGCCAAAGCTTCTGCGGTCATGACTTCCACAATCGGCAACTGACACGACAAAATCCGCGCAAGCCGCGCGCAAGCCGCGCGCAAGTTGCGCGCAAGCACGAGAAGCCCCAGCAAGACATCTAGCCATGCTGTCTCGGATGTCCTTAGCGGCGCGGTTCAAGCAATGGATAGGCACCCGCAACATGCACTTTCCTTCTTTCAGGCTGTGTCCAACTGTGTGGCAGAGCCTGCTATCGTTTTTCTGTTGGGTCAAGGGTATGTTGCTGGCGTTGAATTGCCGGGAGCGACCTCAGCGGGAAGATTCTTTGTGGGTTGCTGTGTGAACGACAAACACACTGCTTAGAAAAGCTTGCGCGCAATCCACACGAAAACTTCGCAAACCGAGGTCGACGAAAACGAGTTTCTGCGCCACTGTGCGCGCGCAAGTCCGCGCAAGTGCCGCGCAAGTGCGGCCCAAGGGCCCAATCCCGGGCAAAGGAATATAGGACAACCCCCAAATGCTGATATAGATTACATGTATTGTGCGGGTATGGTTGGTTGCAATACGTAGATAGGGCATCCACCGTTTTTCACCCTTTTCGCGAGGCGCCATGGCGGACAAAGCCAAGGCAGCGGAGGCAAAAGCCAAGGGCAATGCGGAGTTCCAGGCGCGTCCGCGGACGCGTTTTGGACATACATCCAAATACAGTGGATGTTTGCGAAATCCGTTCTCACCACGAAATGAAGCCATGGTTGAAACCATTGTTTGTTGGAATTTACAAGGAATCTCATTCCAGGGAATCTCATTCCAGGGTTTCCATCCACAGTATGGGCATGAGTTTCAATTGGGGGGTCGGAGTCGATTGCGGCTTTCCTGTTGGGTTCCCTTTAAACCGAACCAGTTGGACAAAGGGTACCCTCAAGACGCTGTTTTTTGAGGGGGTACCCGTTTCCAGGTCGGTTTTAATGGGGAACCAAAAGGACACCCACCATTTAGTCGGGTCCTCCAAAAAAGACATTGAAATTTATTGAGGGACCCTTTCGTGGACAGTCCGTCAATCACCTGCACATATCCATGAATGTTAACAGGGAGCACCCTACATTTCCACCTAAATGATGTCCCGAATCAAAACATGGGGGACTCACGACGCGTCCCCCCAAAACCAGGGTGTCTCACGAATGTTTCTCGTCGTTTTGAGCGTCTCTCATGCGTCAGAAGAAGCCAAGGCCCTTGAATTGCATTGTTGAAGGACAGCATAGCAATCGCTCAGTCTCAGTGCGCTTAGCCCATGATCCGTTTTGCTTCAGGCTCGAAACGCAAGCTACAGAACACCATTGCCATTTACCAGCAGGCTGAGACCTTTTTTTTCCGATTCATTTTGAAACTAGAACCAACACAGAACCATACCGAACCATCGCCATTTAGTGGGTCAATTGGTGTTGACACATGTCCAGGTGCTGCCTTGATGCCAAGTCAGCTTTAAGGCAGCTTTCTCTCGGTCGGAGGGCTGATTCGCCTGAAACGTGAAAACAGCCATCCGTAAACACGCGCCATGTATCCGTAGGAGTCAGGTCATCTCAAAACAACGTCCTTCAAACAATGGTCACTCCATTCCCTTTTTTCGGACTTTCAAAAGTGGCAATTTTGGTAGAACCCGCCAGTAAACTGCCCGTCATTTGCGGCCTGCATGTCCACGCTTCACGGTCCATCCCATTTGAGCCAGCAAACATGCTTGTGCAGTGTTAGCTCCCACAGATTCTGCACTTGTCGCGCTTTTAGCTGCTGGTTGCGTCGCTGACGCTGAGCATTTGCTAGAGCCTCCGTGTTCCTCAAGCCTCCAAGGTGTCTTTCCCCTCGAAGCAGGTTTTGTTCCTTGGACCAGTCTTGCACTGCGGTTTTACCACTGACAGACGAAGGAACTGCAACTTTTGAAAGGGAAGTCCTGCGACCCCTGTCACAGCCTGAGCAACGGTCCCCGTAAAGGGCATGGTAAAGTTAGTAATCCGGTTTTGGCTGAATCGTCTCTTCAACTTAACCACCGACAAAACTAGACTTTGACCGAACCGTAGATGTCAATTGCTCAAGATGCCACGCGCTTTGCGCAGACAGCAGGAATGTCAAGAAACAGAGACATAGGGACAGCATACCGTGTGGCATCCGTCGAGTAGGACGTACTTTGTCAATCACATGGAACATGTTCACCGACTTTGTTAACCCCAGCATATGCTGCGACTCAAAGCCGCAGCAAAGGAGTGCATGATTAAGACAAACACCTGCGAACCAAGGCAAAGAACTACAAGGAGGCCATCAAGCACTTCACTGAGGCGCCAAATAATTCATGAATCAGGTTTGTGCCTGCTCTCGCAGTCGATCGGGTTGGTCGAGGTTAGCAACAGGGCCGTGCGTGTCAAGCACGGCTCAGATGGATTTGCAGTTTGCAGTCTCCTGAGTGGAGGGAGGAATAGGTGTGAAAGCAAGAAAGCTATGGCTTGTGGCACTTGCAGCAAGTCACGTTGTGCGCTTCGTCATGCTCCTGCCGCCTGCTCAGGCCATCAAGCATGACCCAAGCGATCACGTTTTCTTCTCCAACAGGCGCGGATGGTTGGAAAGTCATCTGAAATTCCACATACGGCTGTCCTTTTTGCTCGGATGTCGACACCCGTTCAAACCAAAAACTAAGGCTAACCAATAAAACCAACCGTTAACTTGTTTGGGCCCGTGCTTTTAATCAAAATGGAACCAGCCATTTCATTCCGGAATGCGTAGCGAAGGCTTTCCATTATTAAAAGGGTCTGTGGGTATGGACGTGTTTGCGAGACATGTTGGTGCCGCCGCAAGCGTTCGCAAGCGTCCGCGCGTGGAAAACAATGCCGTGCTGTTGGGATTCCTACAAAACGCGTCAAATTGGATGAATCTTGAAGCTCTGGATTTGCCGCACCTGTGCGTGGATCATGTGTTTTGCAACGTTGCGTGTCGTTTCGCTGCGCAGGCACAGTGTTTTGGAAGGTTGCGTGGTTGCGTCGCCGTGCCACTGTGATTTACACTTCACAGGTTGTCATTTCGCGGTGTCTTTCTCGGCAGGCGCACATGCGCTTTCGCGGAGTCATTTGTTCGGGCTCGTTTTGGCAAGATTGAAGCTTGTCAAAATCGGTCGAGATCATTCTTGCGCCGCAGTCCCGCGCTAGTTCTGGATGTGTGTCATGAACGTGTCAAAGTTGGATTTCATGACTGGCGCAGTAATTTTGACGATTTTGAGTTTGTGGCAAGTTCACTTTGACAGTCGAAGCACCTTAGTGCTTTGAATGAATTCCGCTGCAAGCGCAGCACTGGAGCTTTTCGTGTGATTTTCGTGGCAGGCGGTACTTTGGCGCGTGGGTACAGATTTCGTGGCAAGTGCAGATTTCGCGGCAAGCGCGGTGGTTCCGAGGTTGCCGTGAAAATTTTGTGCCAGGCGCAGCACTTTGGAGCGGCGTGTGTGGATGCCGCAGCACGCGCAGGACTTGGGAGCTTCGCTTTTCAAATTTCGTGGCAGGCGCAGTGTTTGGGAGCTTGGGGAGCAGATTTCGTGGCAGGCGCAGTGTGTGGGAGCTTGGCGTGAAGATTTCGCGTTCTTAAAGTGAATGGATGAATGAGTGACTGCAGAAATGATGTCTGCATGTCTGAATGACGCAATGAACGAATGAGTGAGTGAGTGTCTGAGTGAGTGGGTATTTGGAACGAACGACCGAACGAACGGACAGACGAACGCATTTATGAATGAAGGAATGAATGAAATGAAATGAATCGGTGATTGGTTGATAGAACGAACAATGAAAGCATAAATGACTGAAGGAGTAAATGACTGAATTGACTGATTGATGGAAT